CAACCCACAGCATATTGTGAGGATGTCTCAGGCGGGGCTCTGGTTTCAGCACCCCTGAGGGGAGCCGCCGAGTGGTATGACACGGACCCGTTCGCGGCCGTTTTGTGGGGATGTCTGACGCGGCTTGCCTGGTCTCTGTCTCGACATCCTTCGCTTGGGGAGCAGATTGTGAGGATGTCTCAGGCGGGGCGCTGGTTTCAGCTACCTCAGGGGAGCCGCCGAGGGGTATGACACGGTCCCGTTCGCGGCCGTTTTGTGGAGATGTCTGAAACGGTTTGCCTGTTTTCTGTCTCAACATCCTTCGCTTGGAGAGCAGATTGTGAGGATGTCTCAGGCGGGGCGCTGGTTTCAGCTACCTAAGGGGAGCCGCCGAGGGGGATGATACGGACCCGTTCGCGGCCGTTTTGTGGGGATGTCTCAAACGGTTTGCATGTTTTCTCTCTCAACAACCTTCGCTTGGAGAGCAGATTGTGAGGATGTCTCAGGCAGGGCTCTGGTTTCAGCTACCTAAGGGGAGCCGCCGAGGGGTATGACACGGTCCCGTTCGCGGCCGTTTTGTGGGGATGTCTCACGCGGCTTGCCTGTTTTCTGTCTCAACATCCTTCGCTTGGAGAGCAGATTGTGAGGATGTCTCAGGCGGGGCGCTGGTTTCAGCTACCTAAGGGGAGCCGCCGAAGGGTATGACACGGTCCCGTTCGCAGCCGTTTCGTGAGGATGTCTCAAACGGTTTGCCTGTTTTCTGCTTTTGCGTTGTGTCCCGAGTGGCTCTCCTCGTTGCGTACGGCGGTCAAGGATGAGTGACCAGATGTTGCTGGCGCAGAGCTTGTGTCACCGTGGGATGTTGCTTTCTCTCTCCGTGGCGCTTGTCGTCGTCAGCGGGAGAGGGGACTTGAGAAGGTTCATTCTCCCGCGTGCGTTTTGGGCTGGGGAAGGAACTTCTGGCTCATATGGCTAGACGCTCATTTAAACATCCTAAATACAATATTATCTTTTAAAAAGGATGCACAAATGGGGAGCTCCACGCAGTGAGTATTTGTGAATCGGCGATAATCCGGATTATCCCGGGGGTGGGGAGGAGGGGGCCGGCCGATAACCTAACCCTCGCGCTGTGGGCAGCCCGGCATATGCCCGCGCCCCCCCTCCCGCGGACCTGCACAACCGGCAAGGTTAGGTTATCCTGAGGGATGGGGGAAGGGGGGGGGACAAGCCCGATGACCCGGGTTATCGCCCGACCCTAAAAAAACACAGTCTCTGGAGCGGAGGGCCGGGAGCTCCGGGGACCCCGCCTCGAAAACATCCAGGGCGCGGGGGGCCCTGGGCCCCGTCGTGCCTGCGGCAGCCTCCAGGCTCACGCCACGGCCCCGTGCCTCCCCCCTCCTCTTGCTGCGGCCAGGGCAAGAGCCCGTGTCCGTGGAGGCCTCCACGATGGGGTCGGAGTAGATTGGGCAGGGGGATCGCGCCGCATCGCTGCACATCGGCAGTACATCGCCGACGCATCGGCGAGGCATCGGCGAGGCATCGGCGATGCCTCGGCGCCATCGGCATGGAGTAACTCTGGCTCCGCGGAAACGACCACCCAAACCGGGTCGTTCGCGAGATGGCGCAGGAACCCCATGCGGCGGCTTACGCGGGCCGCCAGCGCGGCACACCACATCAGCGACCGCAGGCGCCTACGCGCGACCTTGCGCGGGCAGCCTACGCGCGAACGTCGGCGCAGACGAGGCCAGCTGTCTGCGTCGCTCGCATGGAGCCACATCGTCGATGCATCGGCAAAGCGGCGCAATCCACCGACCCCGTCTGCTCCGACTCCATCTGGCAGGCTTAGCTGCCCCGATACGCACCACGCCACACGTATCGTACTGATACGGAGCTCAACACGTAGGCTGAAGACGTAGGTCCGACGCGGTACATTCGCCAAAACGCGGTCCAATACGTGGCACGCCAACACGCAACGTGTTGACACGGACGTCTTGAACACGGGACGCGTTGCGTTTCAATTGAGGGAAGAAAACGACCCTACCCTGGGTTACAAGTGCGTGGTCTGTAAACCTCCTGGGAACCCCCAAAGCCTAGACCCGCCAGAAGGCGGCACATCACGCAGGGTTTACCCTGTCAGCCAACAGGAGTTTCAGCGCACAGCGCCTCGTAATCCAGGGTAGGGGCTTTTTTATGCCCTTGATTCAAAACGGGCGTACGTCTTGAACACGGGACGTGTTGCGTTTCAAAACGGGCGTATCGAGGCACCTAAGCTGGCAGGCCTGACGCAGTGGCCGCGCCTCGCCGCGCACCGGCACGCCTCCGCCCTCCGAGCCGCCCGCGGCCCTCCGAGCCCCCGCTGCTTCCGACCACAGGCCCGGCGCCACCGCTCTGGGCTCCGTCGGGGGCCTCCCCCGCGCCTGCAGCCCCTCTGCGTGCTCCGCCCCGCGGCCAGGGCGAAGCCAGGACGAGGACAAATCCGGGAGGAGGGAGGAGGGAGGGGGGAGGAGGGAGGAGGGAGGAGGGAGGAGGGAGGTGGGATGGAGGGGGAGGAGCAGGAGGAGGAGGAGGGGAGGAGGAGGAGGAGGGAGGAGGAGGAGGAGGAGGAGGAGGAGGAGGAGGAGGAGAGCAGGACGAGGAGGAGGTGGAGGAGGAGGAGGAGGAGGAGGAGGAGGAGGGGGAGGATGAGGGGGAGGAGGAAAGGAAAAGGAGAAGGAGGAGGGAGGAGAGGAGGAGGAGGAGGAGGAGGAGAAGGAGAAGGAGGACAAATCTGGGCGAGAATGACTCACACAATCTCAGCAGCGGCCCTAGACGTGTGGAGCGCCGCGGCCTTCTCCAGAGCGCTCTCGGAACGCTCCGAGAGCGCTCCGGAGCGCTCTGGAACGGATCTTGTCCTCGCCCCGCCTACTCCTGCTCCTCCTCCTCCTCCTCCTCCTCCTCCTCCTCCTCCTGCTCCTCCTCCTCCTCCTCCTCCTCCTCCTCCTCCTCCTCCTGCTCCTGCTCCTCCTGCTCCCCCCCCCTCCTCCTCCTCCTCCTCGCCGGATCTCTCCCTGCCTGTGGGGGGGCAGCATCGAATCTGTGCGCCGGCCTGCTGCTCTATACGCCTCCGAAGCGCGGACGTAACCTCAGGCCAGGGCGCCTCCACGTGCGGAAACGATGAGCAGCCCCTGGGGGCGCTGCGCCCCATGACACCAGAACGAACGACCCGACGATCTGGAAGTCCTGATACCCTAGGACAGGGCTGGACCTAAACGGTGTTTTTGGCGATTTCGCGGGCCGTTTTCGTTTCGACTTCGTTTTGAGGTAAAGGGCGAATTCGAGACAAAAGCGAGGGAACACGAAAACAAAACGAAAACGAAAAACACCGTTTAGGTTCAGCCCTGCCCTAGGAAGCCACGGGCTACCTACCAGGCCCGAAGACCCGAATCTCGGGTTGGGGGGGGGGGGACGGGTTCCACACGTGTTTTTTCGGTTTTCCCCAGGCCCCCCACTGGAAAGGAAGGGCAAATGGGGACCTTCGGGTTGGGTTGGGGTGGTTTGGTGGGCGGTGAGCCACGGTGTCAAAACACTTCCATCACATGGCCGCTGGGACCTGATATCACTCGGCAGTGCAATGCAGCTGAGGCTGGGAAGGATGCCAAGGCCTGTGCTTGGTTGGGCTTATGTATTCGTAGAAGGGACCCGCCCTGTTCGCGCTCCATGCGTGTATCGTCCCTCCCCCCAAGGCCACGACCCCTAGAAAGAAACAGTGTATCCGCGCTCCGAGGTCCACGACCTCTTGCTTCAAGCGATGAATCCGCGTCGCGAGCTTCCCCGACGGCCCATGCAGGCAACCGATGGCCCCAACACGGCCATACATGACCAGCCCGAGATGGCTCCGAGAGACCCCAAACGTGCCACACGAGGACCTCCAACAAGGCTCGAAGAAGCCATAATCATTGTTTTCCTTATGTTTTGACTGATTGTCGCATTCTCACCTTTACGCTCCTCCTCCTCCTCCTCCTCCTCCTCCTCCTCCTCCTCCTCCTCCTCCTCCTCCTCCTCCCCATGATCATCATCACCACCACCACGATCATCCCCACCATCATCATCATCATCATCATCATCATCATCATCATCATCATCATCATCATCATCATTATCATCATCAGCATCATCATCATCATCATCTTCATCACCACCACCACCACCACCACCTCGTCCTCCTCATGATCATCACCACCACCACCACGATCATCCCCATCATCATCATCATCATCATCATCATCAGCATCATCATCATCCTCCTCATAAGTATCAGGATCGTCAGCAACAGCACCAGTATCAGCATCATCACCAACAGCAGCAGCAACATCATCAGATCATCAGCATCATCATCAAGCTTACATTACCAGTAACATCAACATCACCGTACACAACAACCCCAACATCGGCATCAACACCAACACCAACACCAACACTCATACCATCATTCTCCTCATCACCATCATCGCCATCACCGTCATCATCATCATCATCATCATCATCATCATCATCATCATCATCATCATCATGATCATGATCATCATCACCATCAAAATCAGCATCATCATTATCAGCAGCATCCTCATTTTTATCCTCATCCTCATCACCAGAATCATCATCATCATCATCATCATCATCATCATCATCATCATCCTCATCGTCATCCTCATCCTCATCCTCATCCTCATCCTCATCCTCACCCTCACCCTCATCCTCATCCTCATCCTCATCCTCATCCTCATCCTCATCCTCATCCTCATCCTCATCCTCATCCTCATCCTCATCAGCATCATCCTCATCCTCATCAGCAGCAGCAGCATCATCATCATCATCATCATCATCATCATCATCATCATCATCATCATCATCATCATCATCATCATCATCATCATCATCATCGTCAACATTTTCATCCTCGTCACGGCTCTCCCGTCCTCGAGCAGTCGCCGCCCAGAATGCTGGGCCGGCACGGTGGCGGGAACTGCCGCAGGCAGAGCACCCTAACGCCCGAAGACCACATTGCCCGAATCCGTCACCGCGCCGAAGGCACTTCGGGTCCCCTCGGGCTCTCTGAATTGGGTCCCCTCGGGCCGGCCCTCGGGCTCTCTGAATTGAGGACTGTGAGCGCGCTGGAGGGGCCCAGACCACGGATCACCATAGCTGTTGGAGGCTCTGTCGGGGTGACGGCCCTTGATACTGCCTGGCCTTCCCCTGCCCACTCCCCTGCCCACTCCTCCTCCTCCTCCTCCTCCTCCTCCTCCTGCTCCTCCTCCTCCTCATTCCCCTGTCACCCTGCGGCTTGAGCCCCAAGGCTTCATCTTCCAGGCAGAGTCTGACATGACCAGACGCCATTGAACCCGCTCCCGCCCCCATTCTTCGCTCCCCCTCCTGAGTCTCCCTCCCCTCCTCCTCTCGGCTCCCGCCCCCACCCCCCCTCACTGCAGACCCTGAGCCCTGGGGGCGGGGCGACCCGACGGCACCCGAGGAGCGCAGAGGAGAGGGCCCCGAGGCGCGCGCGCGCAGCTCTCGCGCAGCCCCCTCTGTTGCTGGCAGGAGCGGCGCGCGCCCGAACTACATGTGCACCGCCTGTGCGGCAGCCACGCTTCTTCGCCCGCGTGGCGGCGGCTGGCCAATCGCCGTGCCGAGGGCTGGCGCATGGCTTCTGCACCGTGCCGGCAGCAGCTGGCCCCTTCCTGCTCCTCAGCCTCTCCCGGCTCCTCCTCCTCCTCCTCCTCCTCCACCTCCTCCTCCTCCTCCGTGTCCTCCTCCGTGTCCTCCGCCGCCGCCGCCTCCTCCTCCTTCTCCTCCTCCTCCTCCTGCTCCTCCCTCCTCCTCCTCCTCCTCCGCCTCCTCCTCCTCCTCCTCTCCTCCTCCTCCTCCTCCTCCCTCCTCCCCTCCTCCCTCCCTCCTCCCTCCCTCCCTCCCTCCCTCTCCTCCCTCCCTCCCTCCCTCCCTCCCTCCCTCACCTCCCCCTCCCTCCCTCCCTCCCTCCCTCCCTCTCCCTCCCCCCCCCCGCTCCTCCTCCTCCTCCTCCTCCTCCTCCTCCTCCTCCCTCCTCCTCCCCTCCTCCCCTCCCCTCCATCTCCTCCTTCCCCTCCCCTCCTCCTCCTCCTCCTCCTCCACTCTCCTCCTCCTCATCCGTATCCTCCTCCTCCTCCTCCTCCTCCTCCTCCTCCTCCTCATCCTCTCCTCATCCTCTTCCTCCTCCCTCCTCCCCTTCCTCCTCCTCCTCCTCCTCCTCCTCCTCCTCCCTCCTCCATCCTCATCTTCCTCCCTGCTCCTGCTCCTGCTCCTGCTCCTGCTCCTGCTCCTGCTCCTGCTCCTGCTCCTGCTCCTCCTCCTCCTCCTCCTCCTCCTCCTCCTCCTCCTCTTCCTCTTCCTCCTCCCCCTCTTTCCTCTCGTCCTCTCCGGAGACTGCTCCTCCGACCAGAGCAGTCCGCCCAAAACAGGCTCTGCGCACGCTGGAGGCCCGGACCAGGGTCCCACCAGCGGCCGCGCTCGCAGACTGACTGCGCGCAACCGCCTGCCCCGCGGGGGGGCCAAAACGACCAAGAGTTGGTAAACGACCGTTCATATATTTCTTATCAGCGATAACGCCCGTGACCGCCCCCGACACCCTCCCACTCCTCGGGTCAGGTCACGCTGCGCGCCGGCGCCGTCTCGGAACTAGCCATTCTTGAACATTCCCAGGCGGCGCCGACGCGAATCGTGACGCGACCGGCCCTCTCCCCACCTCCCCCCCACGCCCACCCCCTGGTCACGCCCGCCATCGCCAGGGCATAAGGAAGGGCCTCCAAGGCTTCTGATTCCCTGAGATCCGACGTAGTGGGGAAAATTCAACGTCGTAAGCAAAAAACACGCCCAGAACCCTAGACATCATCTTCCTGCGCCATTTTTCAAGCCGGATCGATCTGCGAGGGTCCCGGGCCCGTCCACGAGCGAAGACGCCCGGAATAGATGACAACGCCAGGTTCTCAGGGGACAGCTCCCCCAGGCAGGGTTCTGGCTGGCCCCCATATACACACCCTTCGCCAGGCCGCCGGGGCGATCTCAACACCCCCGGCCTGGGGCGT